TTTTTCACATCCAACTTCCCACCCCTTAAACTGATTTCCACTATTTTCCATCAATTATTCTTCCTTCATAAAGTGATTACCACACTGGGCATTTAAACCTCAGGTTCGTAGTGTTTTCCGTGCAAAAGTGAAATTTTGATCATTTATTTAAACTATACTTTGTTGAAACTTTCGCAAGATCTATAATTTGAATTCATTCACTAGACTTATAATTTAAATTCATTCGCAAGATTTATAATTTGAATTCACTTCTTTACAGTATCTGAATCCGAAACTGGCTGGCCTTAATTTATTTGTACGTAAGGCATTTGTCACCACTTTCTTTCATCGAGTGACCAACCCGCCATCTTCACCTTCACGTTCCCATATATATACTGAAGATTGCACTTTTGGATTTGGTTCTCATTGACTATTTTTGCCTTTGCTATGAAGATGAATCATTCAAAGTCACTAAAAATTTTGTTTGATGAATTAAAATAAAAGCTTCTTAGATTACTTCTTTAATTAAATCCCTGTCGATTGTGTGAAAACCTCACATTTTCCCAATTTTTTCCTGATTTTTTATATATTTTCTATAGAAAACGACAATGGGGGTCCTGTGGGGAACTGTGGGTTTTGGGGGGGGGGGGGGACACGCCCGAGGCTCTAGTTCATAAAAAAAAATTGTCAAAAAATTGGAAAAATTGGACCTAACCTAACCTAGCGCAATTTTTTGGGTTTTATTTTGGTTTACAGTCATTCCCAGATCGAAATAGATCATTTCCAGTCAAAAAAATTTTTCCGATTTTTCCCATTTTTTGCCAATTTTTTTTGACAAATTAGAGCCTCGGGCATGTCACCCTCCCCTAAAACCCCTGGTTCCCCACGGGTCCCCCATTGTCGTTTTCTATAGAAAATATGCACAAAATCGGTACCGCCAGAAACAGATTTCAGATTCTTGATCTACACCCCAAAAAAACATATAATTAAAAAACACCCTTTTTTTGGATGCACTTACTCTAAAGTAATACCAAAAAATCAATTAACAGCAAAAAATTTTGATTATATTTAACTTGCTCAGCAACAAAAATTTCACTTGTCAAAAAATGAATGCATCATCTGTCATTACAAAATTGTGCAGAGAATGTCATAGATAGAATTGTGCTCTAGGCATCATAAAATGAAAAATAATTAACCCAAACTATGATTTATTTCTCCTAAAAATATGATGGTTGTCACTAGAATAATCCTTTGTTTCAGGTATGTTTTTTACAATCTTTTTTGTTATAGTGAATTCACTTGACCAAATTAAAATGGTGCAAAATTACAAGCCATCCTGTAAGTAAACAGATACAGAAAAGTGCTGTATGGCTGCTGAAATGAAGCTTGCAGTGGACAAGGTTGTTGTTGATGCTCATGGCATGTTCATGGATATGGTAATATTGCATCAATAATACGGTAATGTATGGATATGGTAATATCATCAATAAAGGAAAAACAACTAAAAATCACAGAAAATATCATTTATTCTATATCCACATCATCTACAAAGGAAAAGGAGGACTTCAGATTACTGTTAGTAATAGACAAGTACACTGCGCATGCTTCAAATGTTTTAAAATTAAGTTTTATTTCAAGTGGATTACGCCGTTCCCAGGGGGAATTTGGGATGCTTTTATTTTGCATCTGGCACCTTATGAATAGCATATGGAATTTTTTTGAAGATGCCATACAATGGCCCTTGCAAAGAGCTATAAAATGAGCCAATCCTTGTTCATGAAATGTTTCATGGTAAGAAGTTATTGACAAAAAATGCTCAAAACTGTCCATTATTACTCCTTTTGACGGTACTCGTTCCCATGTCTGCCAAACACATGTCATGAGGAATTGACAACTGGTTATATAAGACATCTAATAAAATAATATTGAAAATTAATAATGCTCAATAATTATTAGGGTCTTTGAAGATAAAGTTAAGAAAGGCATACATTATAGTTGAGTTTATTAGAAGTGTGTGAAAGAAATTACCATGAAAATGAATTCATAAAATTTAAATTACTGCAAGAGGTTCCACAGTATAGTGCTTAAATGCAAGTATGTTAATAATGGAACAAGTAAAAGATTGATGAAATATTTTATAAGATCTTTTCATTTTTTTATGGCCTAAATGAAAGCAATTGGGATTTAGCTCCTCATCACAGCTTGCTTAATGTTTGCAAAGACAAGGTGATGCACTTGAAGCACTAAAGAATGCTATGGTATGTGTCAACCATACTCACTACAAAGACAAGGTGATGCACTTGAAGCACTAAAGAATGCTATGGTATGTCAACCATACTCACTACAAAGACAAGGTGAGGCACTTGAAGCTGGGTTGGCGATTTTTTTTATTTAAAAAAAAAAATCAGAAAAATCAATGATTTATTTGATTTTTTCATGATTTTTTTGATTTATTTGATTTTTTTTATTTTTTCAGCTTTATTGTCTTTTTTTGAGGTGTTATTTTTTATGTTGCAATTAGCCTACTAACAATAACAGTATATGGATCATAATGGATGACTAAAATGGGCACTTATTGCCTTCAATAATGGCCAACAGGCCAAGGTGGTGTTTACCACTTTTGATTTTTGGGTAAACAATTATTGATAAGTCTATTCAGTAGCTTTGTAAAGTTTGTATGGAACAAGGTAATGAGCTAAATATTGACCATTTAACTGGCTTCAATATACAAAAACACTTCAGGAATGCAGATCTCCTAAACATTGAAGAGTCACATAACAGATAGGTAGCTGATAGCACAGTGCAGAGCACTATCAATAGATCTACTAGTTTTATGTCCTATAAATCTACCAGACTCTACCCTCTATACACACCGACTAGTAGTGACTGTAGATGATAGCACAGTGCAGAGCACTATCAATAGATCTACTAGTTTTATGTCCTATAAATCTACCAGACTCTACCCTCTATACACACTGACTAGTAGTGACTGAGTGACTGACTGCACTGTTCCCATTTAATTCAGACCAATAAACCAATACTAAACATAAACTGAACAATAACCAAACAAACCTCATATGACTTGAAACGAGACTGAAGTCATGAGAAAAGCTAACACTGTTTGAAATAAACATGTGCACAATTCAAATATTTTATATCCATTCACTGCATTTAATTATTTTATATATTGTCTTATAATTGTAATTGTTTTATTTCTAATTTTAAATTCACATATTTAAAAATTGAAATTAAATATTTTAATTAGAATACTCGTATTAGGGTGGAAAATCTTTCTAATTGCCTAAAAGGTCAATACAATCTCAACCTCTCAATATACCGGGTGGAGCAGAGCCGATTGAGCAGTTTTGAGGTAAAATAGAAGAGTAATGGAGGTACATAAAGAAGGAAGTTTATTTTCCTAGAGGTTAGCATAACATACCATTTAGAATACATATGTTTTGAAAACAGTATCTGGAAGATGGGGGCTGTTAGCTGCAACACACTGTTGGAGTCGTTCTCAGAGGAGGGAGTAACCATAACAGTGAATTCCGATTGCTATGCTGCAATGTTGCAAAATTTCTTGCAGCCCATGATGGAAAACATTGTTGAAAATGAAGCATTGAGAGACGTGTGGTTCCAGCAGGATGGGGCTACAGCTCACACAGCTCGAATGTCACTCAATGTCTTGAAACACATGTTCCCAAACTCTGAGGGGTGATTTACAGTGGCCTGCAAGGTCACATGATTTGAGCATTTGCGATTTCTTTCTTTGAGGACATCTAAAAGAAAGGGTGTTCAGAAGTTGCCCTCACACCCTACCACAGCTAAGGGGACAGATTATTGCAGCAGAGGTTATGGCCATACCTTGCCATATGTGTGGACGTGCTGTAGGAAACTTCCGAGAACAACTCCAAAAGTGTGATGCAGCTAACAAACCCCATCTTCCTGATATTGTTTTCAAAACATGAGTATTTTAAATGGTATGTTATGCTAATCATGAGGAAAATAAACTTTCTTCTTTATGTGCCTCCATTACTCTTTTATTTTGCCTCAAAACTGTTCAATCAGTTCTGCCCCACCCTGTATAAGCTAGCTAACACATTTAAATTGTATATTGTAATCAATGCCTTATAAGAATTAGCTAAGCTGCTAGCTACGTACAATGTATTGCACACTTGATGCCTCTGTACTAAAAACATTCCATTTATTGGAACCTAATACACACTAAAGGCAACAAGTTTATATACCAATTTATCATTCATAGTACATTTATACTAAAACATGAATAACAATGCCTCAATATAAATTAAAGACTGCCACTCAATATTTTTAAATATATGAAAAAATCAAAAAAATCAAATAAATAAAAAAAATAAAAAAAATCATAATTTTTTTATAAAAAATCAAGTGATTTAATCACATGATTTAATCATTTTGATTTAATCATTGCCAACCCTGACTTGAAGCACTAAAGAATGCTATGGTATATGTCACCCATGCTTGCATCCTTGGTCATGATGGTGAGCAGCAGACAGCAGCTCAGACTTTGCTACCATATAATCTCTTACTCTATAGAACAAAAAAAAAAAAAAACTATGGGCTATAGGACAGCAAAGATTAACTCATGTGTTCACACTCAAATCAATAGCAAAACTGGATGGGATGAAAAGTTTAATTAGCAATCATGAGCTGTCAATGTCATGGAAGACAGCCAACAAACTTGAAAAGTTTTTGAAGAGGGTGAAGTTACATAGCAGACAATGAGGCTAGTCAAACTTTATTTTAATCTTCATTTAAGAGATATTTTAATCACATGGATTCTAATAAGGCACAGAGAAGGCTTTAACCAAGGCTATGACCAGAAATTTATTTGATATTTAAAATTAAACCTTAGATTTTTTTAAGGAGATTAGGTATTTTCCTTAGCCATCCTTGTAAATTTGTATTTATGTTTTGCATATCAACATTATTATTATTGTTATTACCTTGCCTGTGTCTTGAGTTGTAATTTATATTTTTTCAGATGCCTGCTTCCCTAAATGAATGACAAGTCCAAATTAAATTTGGAGATCTCTAGAGACTAAATGAATATTGTTGCAGTGATGCTAGTATAAGATTTATGATGGGGAGACTGGAAGAGCGTTTGGGTACAGGCCCAGTTTCGCGGTTTGATCTTGTAAGTTTTAAGAAAATAGTTTCAAATGTTTTTTATCAACAATTTGTTTCTACAATGATTCTTAAATGTATTTGTCATCCTTAGCAATCATAAATATGGAAGTTCTACTGTTTTTGAGATATATTTGTATTTTATTGATGATCTTGTTGATTTTTTCTATTGTATTGATATTTCATTGAATGGGCTTTGAAAATATAAATACTTTGTATTTCCCGCACTGATTCTTTCATATCTGTCATTGTGATCCATTTCTTAACTGCAGGTCGCAGCTTCAGAGCATTCCTCTATGATAAAAAAGGATGAGGAATTATCCCTAGAAGAGGTGAGTAGGTATTGCAGTTGAACATGGTAAATAAATTTATGCTTTTTTTCAACTTTGTGCTATATCATTTCCTGCTAAATTCTCTCACTATTTTTCATATTTTTTAGAAGTTACATCAATGAAAAACTTTTATGTATCTTTGGTCTAAGTCAAGATGAGTTATTTTAAAATTACCTGGTTGACTTGTACCTAAATTTTCACAGATGTTGCATGCACAAGGATGCCCTTGCATAATAATTTTGCATTTTTGTACCAAAAATTTTACCATCTACTTCTAATGTGTTAAAAAATACATAAATATTTTAATATTTTATGATAATATTTTTTGTAATATTTTAATGCCTAATAGTAATAATTAATGTGTTAAAAAATAAATAATTGTTTCTATGTTCTTTTTTTGCTCCATGTTTATCATTTGATGTGATGCTACATGGAGAAGTAACACTACTAAAATATGTTGATTCTATAATTTATAAGTTCTAACTTCCTTACTAGTGGTATTCCTGCTGCAAGTCAACTGAACCTCAGACCGCGAGCTATGACTTCTTTTGCCGAGGATGGCCTGATGATCCCCTCCATCCTAAAGTTGGATTTAAGGAGGACTCTTTTTCTGGCTTGACAAGTGAGTTTCTTGAATGTAATAATTTACTGCATCAACAAAAGAGCCTCAATAATAATATTGATGATGTTATTAAAAGAAAAATATGGTCCTTGATCACTCTATTTTTGTTCTCTGCCTAATTTTTTTCAAATGCTTTTATGACATATGACAGAATCTTTTCTAAAATTTCTGTGATTCAATCCCTTCCTTCTATTACCTTAATTTCATGCCAATTTATTTACCCTAATTTCTTTCTACATGCCATTCATTCCTTGCCTCTTATTCCTAGCCTCTGATTCCTGCAAGCTATGTGTTATGCATGGTTTTATACCTCTTATTTCAAGCCCCTGATTACAAGTAAATATATACTACTGGTTTTCATGTCCCTTATTCCAAGCATATTTTGTCATGCCTCTTCTTCTTAACCATTGATTCTAAGCACATGTTTTCATGCCTCTGATTCCTAGCCAATAGATTCATGTTTCTTTTTCAATTATCCATATCTTCTACTTCTAATTGGTTTCTTCCGATTCATTCCTCATGAGTTCATGCATTTGATTTCATTCTTTTTCTTCTATTTATATATTTATTTGATGCAATGAGAGTTCAGTCTATGTTAACTCATATTGCCCATGATGCAGATGGTTGAGTTAGATAAAATGAAGATAGCTAACAATTTTTTAGTGTCCTCATCAGTATTGGATGCTGACAAACAGTTCACTGAGAAACAACAAGAAGCTGAGGAAAGTTGCCGTAAACAATCTGAATCTCGTGAGTTACCATACCAAAGGATCACTTTGTTACAAAGAAGTATTTTATTGGTAAATTTTCTCCTCTTGTTGCTTCACCAAATCAGCAGGTTCTTTTTCAGAGAACAATTTGTGATCTAAGTTGCTATTTGATTTCGCGTTGGTGCCTGCATTCACACATGCCAGGAGGGTGGGCAAAGAAACTAAAAATTTTAATGCTTAAGATTACTTTTAATAAGCTGTTGGTGTTTCATTTGCCTGTTTGTGATCCATTTGTGTGAGAAATGTCTTCCTGGTTCTACCTGTCTTGTCCAACATGACAGGGTCTCATCCTGAGAGCAAGAGAAGCTCCCCGGACACAGACCAGCTGCTGCCACGTGCTGATGGCATAAGAGCAGTGCGGTTTGTGCCTCCCGTGTACACCTCCAAACACGTCCGTGATGCAACGCAGGAGCTGGTGTGCTTTACCCCCGCCAGCCTTAAACAAAGTGAGAGGCTGTTCTGTACTCACTGTAAAAACACTTATTGATGCTGAGACACTGTTCTTTGCAGTAGAGATGTGAGGGCTGCAGTAGAGAGATGTGAGGGCTGCAGTAGAGATGTGAGGGCTGCAGTAGAGAGATGTGAGGGCTGCAGTAGAGATGTGAGGGCTGCAGTAGAGATGTGAGGGCTGCAGTAGAGAGATGTGAGGGCTGCAGAAGAGATGTGAGGGCTGCTGTAGAGACATGAAGGTTGTGAAAGTTTTATTAGTTAGTTCAACTAATGCATGCACTCCTTTCGTTGGATGCCAACTATAACATGTTACAATGATCACAAATTAATCAATAATAATCCATAGTTATAGATTTAGTTTAGTTTTGCATGCCATCACGTCATTACTCCAGGAACATCTCCTGACGAGGAAATAGAACGAGGCGCCCTTCGGGAGGAGACAGTGGGCACCCCCGAGGACCTCCCCCGGCCGCCTCTCCTTCGTCGTAACCTCAGGAAGATGATCAGCAGGCTACGGCACCATGGAAATATGTGAGTGTTTGGTAAACTTCATTAAATTCTTTATATTGTGTTCGCTGGTTAGTGTGATACGTACCCCCATTTCCAGATTAATTCAGGAGCCTTTTATATTGCGTTTAGCACCTTACAAATAGCATATAGAATTTTTTGGAAATGCCATACAATAGCCCTTGCAAAGACCTTTAAAATGAGCCCAAACTTGTTTATGAAATGTTTCATGGTAAAAAGTTGTTAAGAAAAACGTTCAAAACCGTCCCTTTTTACCCCGTTTGACGGTACATAGTTGCTTGGTTTCATTAAGTTATTGTGTTCGATTGATGTTGTGCACCTGCCAAGGATTTTTCTTCTTAGAGTTTCACGTTATTCTACTAGACTGCCGTATTTTATTTAATGATTTAATAATTTATTAATCCTTTTAAAAATATATGAAATTTCGTCTTGTGTGCCTTAATTTTTCCACCTCTACAGGCGTGAAAATTGTAGCTTAATATTGCTGTATTATTTTTCAAGTTATCAAAACTCATCCTTCATTCAAGTACACCAGAAGGCCGTCATTACAGCTGTGAACAAATTACTTAGTATAGCGTCTTGTGCGATGTTTTTGACGACCAAAAATTGTTCACAAACACATCTTTACAAGAAAACTCCTTCGTCATCAAGCAAGTCCACTTCTACAGAATTGATTCCTACCAAACATCTGACGTTGAATCAACTTTGAATTAAACCTTTTTTCGTTGAATAAGCATTAATTGAACGTCGTTTTAACGTTATTTGCATACATATTTATTACTTACTGGTGCAGGGGCTGGAGGCTTGACGGGCAGGGTGAAGGGTTTCCGTTGCTAACAAGCCTGCCAACGGAGGAAGTTCTGTACAGGCAGCACCGCGCTCTGTCCCCCACGTCAAGCCCCCTTCAGAAGCCTCTTGTTCGCTTCGTCGAGGTAAGCTGGAGACGACGTGCCTTACGGTCTGTTAGTAACACTATGAGATCGATGTTGTCGGCAGAAATCTTGAATGAAATTATGTCACCTATTTTATTGATGTAATTGAAACTTAGAAAATTGATAAGCTGGAGACGGCGTGACTTGCAACCTATTAATGGCACTATGAGTTCGATGTTGTCGGTAGAAATTTCGATCTTGAATGAAATTTTGTCTCCTGTATTATTGATGTACCTGAAACATAAACAAACAAAAAACTGAGTAGGTCTCGTGTTTAAATATTTATTTTTAGCTTCACTTGACGCATGATCGCGTAATTGGATGGTGTCAGGCAGCGGAGTCATTGAAACTCAAGCAATAAAAATAAAAACTTTGTAGTCTCATGTTTAAATATTTATTTTTAGCTGCACTTGACGTATAAACGTGTAATTGGATGATGTCAGGCAGCGGAGTCAGACGCGTCGCTGTCGCTGACGCCGGCGTGTGCGGTGCACGTGGCGCTACAGGAGCTCAGGTTCGACCACCACCCTCTGCTGGCGCCCGAGCACCTCGTCGCCAGCGCCCTCGTCAGCGCCGTCCGTCTCTACAACGAACGCATCGCCAGCGCCTGCACCGACCTGCTCCTGCACAAGCTTAAGGTCTCACCACCGACTTTACGTTGATTTCAAATTGAGCGAATCATGAGTTTGTTTTATCTATATTGAAACATTATATGCACATGCATTATTGATTGATCTTTTATTATATTATATATTATTGATTGATCTTGTATTACATTATATATTATTGATTCATCTTGTACAGAGCGCCGACGCTGAAGCTTTGTCTTGTCAACATCAATCATGTTTTGTTTTCAGAGCGCCGACGCTGAAGCTTTGTCTTGTCAACATCAATCATGTTTTGTTTTCAGAGCGCCGACGCTGAAGCTGAAGCTCGCTGGTGGACAGAAGCACAGGCGCAGGAAGTAGCAGACCGTGTACAGGAGGAGCAGCAGCGATACGACCAACAGATGCACGTGTACCAGCAGCAGATAAACACGTGGAGGCAGCTGCGCAAAGCTAAGGTGATGCATAAACCTTGTTTGAATATGTTATTTAGTGTCGTCATTTGTTAGTTGTCTGGCGGTGTTTAAGTTCTTTCAAGTTGTTAGCGCATTTTCTCATTTATAGGAAAAAGGCGCTATTGTGCTCGTCATGTCCGTCCGTCCGTGACTTCACGGACGGACGGACAGACGAGAAAATGCGCTCGCGGTCACTGACTACTGTCAGTACTGATCTAATTTTTTAATTTACATGTGTGTGCGTGCAGTTAATGGGCATATATCTTTTGGACCTTCAAGGTTGTTTGTCAACTCAATACTTGTTATTACACTTCTTCAGAAGTTATATAGGAATTGGTTTACTTCGCTATAAACAAATACTAATACGCAGCACTTTATATAGGTTCTCATCAATACCACAACTATCACATATTTATTGTGGTACCAAAAAACACCACACGTTTACCAAACTCATACCAAATGATGTAACTCTTACCAAATGATATAATGCTTGGGAGACAAGACGATCAGTCACACTATTCTCAATATCATCAATATTTATAATAATATCATCACACCATCGGTCACACTATCCATAATATCTTCAAAATTTCGTATCGCATAATATCAATTTAAAATGTTCTGTTATTTGTTCCTTGAATAATACCTTATCGCATAATATCAATTCATAATGTCATCACACCATCAGCTTCACTATCCACAATATCATCAAAATTTTGTACTGCAGAAGGCGGCGCGGCGTCGCCTGCAGGTGGCAGGCGAGGAGGCGTCTCTGGTCGCCGCAGACGAGCGCGAAGTCGCGTCGCCTGTGCCCCCGCGCCCCCCACACCCCCAGCCCCCCCGTGCGAAAAACCTCGTGGGTTGTCTGCATTGCACATCCCTATTTTTTTTTTATTATTTCTTTTACTTTTGCCATGCTTACATCTATGTATTATCTAGTTACGTATCACATCCCTCTATTTTTTTCTTGATTATTTCTCTTATTTTTGTCATGGTTACATCTATCTTTATCTAGTTATGTAGCATTCATAAGACTAAATTTGTTCAGCATTTGAATGTTTTTTTTTTACTTTATCCGCCTTTATTCTATGCTTCTCATGCTCGTTTTCTTATAAGCTGCATTTTTTTATTATCATTGTTTTCTATGTGTATTATTTATAAGCTTTGTTTTCATTTATCTGTGGTTATTTAAGATCACGGAGGAAGTGCAGGCGACGTTTGAAGCGAGTCTGCGGCCTCCAGGCGAGCCTGAGCTGCAGCTGCTGCTGACGACCACAGCTGAGGTGTCGCCTGCCAAGCTCTGTTCCGTGCAGGAGAGGCGCAGGCGACAGGCGGTTGCACGCACTGAAGTTGCCGTCAAGGTTTGTCTGCGTCTTAAAAAAAAAAAAAAAAAAAATTTAAAGCAGCGGCAGAATTAATTCTAAACATCGCAATGGTAACCTTACGAAATCATCGAATTTCCCTGAAGAACCTGTGCTAATATAAAATTTTCAGTGTAGCAGTTTTTGTTTCCATGTAGCGTTCTCAGAAATGTGACTCACCGTTCTAGCCCGCATGTCCCGGCAAGTCATTTCCATTCGTGTTTAGGGCAATGTTATATTTTTTCCAAATATTTTTAAATATAAAGATTTCTTAATATATTCCGACGCATGTCTTTTCTCGTCTGAAGTCGTAATGGGTCCTACGTTCATACCCTAACAAAATTTAGAGACGTGGCAGCTTCTGATTCGAGTAATCAGAAGCCAATGCGGATCTAAATTCTGATTTGGTACGATCGTTGCTAATGAGAGCCGAAATAAAGAGCTTGAGGTGTCTCAACGAGAGTCTCAGTTGAGGTGTTAGGTTATGGGGTAAATTTTGGGGGTTAAGTAATGGGTTGAAGTTGTGGGGTTGGATTGTCACTGCGCCTGAGCTTTACACTAGTTCTACGTTGAATAAAATGCTAACTTTTAAAGTTTACATATCACTACTCTTGGACAAGATACAATCGAGCATCTATTTTCGCTTATACGCGCTAGTCAAAATATGAGACGTACAGGTTCAATGGCCCATGAGTCCGTGACCGTTTCAATGGCAAAGGAAAAAATTACACTTATAACACTGTATACATTTCACTTTCCTTGAAATAGTATTTGAACCAATTACAATAGTTTATTATGCTTCTTCAATTAAAATGGCATTCTCGAATTAAGTTTGATAACCACGACAAAGCACTTGGTATTGCACAAGGTAACAAAGGTCAGTACTAACTCTGTTAGTACTGATTAGTTAGTACGGGTTAAGTACGTACTCAGTTAGTACGGGTTAAGTTGTTACGTAGGCAAGATTCCTTACATTTCCCTTCTATGTCTCTGGTGGGTGGCCGACGTCTCGTGTAAGCGACGTCTCGTTTCCGTCGCTGTTCACGTTCCATTTCTTCTTTTCTCGTTCGTATTACTGTTAAATTTTACAATTTTTTTATTTGTTCGTGCCGATGCTAATGATTCACTGCCGCGGTGCACTTGCCACCAGAACGAGTCAAGATCTAGAGTTGAGATGTCGGCAGCGAGACACAGTGTTTACTATTATTATAGTCACGTTTTAGGACTTTATTAGGAAATTCCGATAGGATTTTCACTGTGGTGAAACATATATAACTCTCTATACAGGACGCACAATATAGTTTTGTATAAAGCACATGTCATTGTTCTCTCCGTAGATATTCGTGAACAACAAAGCTGTAACACAAACGCCTTGGTTACGTTTGGACGACAACAACCTGACGCTGCCGCTGAACTTCCCTGTGGTTGCTACCACAGTTCACCAACCACGCACTCTAGCGCTGCAGCTGCTACAGTCCACCACCAGCACCACAACCAAGCTACGCAAGGTCATCACACTCGGCCACCACACCACAGACCTCACACGGTGCCTTGACTTCGACAGCTCCGAGGCGAAGGCACCACAGTCTCTGGACATCACCTTCACGTGTGATGAGGTGTGATGCTACACGTGTGATGAGGTTTGGTGCTACACGTGTGATGAGGTGTGGTGCTACACGTGTGATGAGGTGTGATGCTACACGTGTGATGAGGTGTGATGCTACAACACGTGTGATGAGGTGTGGTGCTACACGTGTGATGAGGTGTG